TCAGGACTGGGCAGGCCGAGGGTGAGGGTGACCCGCACTCATTCTGAGCAGCACGGCCCCTCCCGCACAAGACCACAGCCACACTAACACAACACCCAACACACAGCGGCCTCACCTGGCCCCCCGGGGCCCCACGCATCCCAGCTGAACCCAGGTATGCAGACAGGCTGCCACAGACTCAGCCTGTCCTCTAGATCCCATTTGAAAAGGGGGAGGTTTAAATTATGCACTTATAAGGTGTTTTCTGTGTACCATTTTATAAAGTGCTTGTGTAATTTATGTGGAAAAAATAATAAAACCCTCCGGATCCGGAGTCAGGGCTGCCTGCTCCTCGCTGAGCCTAACATCTTGCAGCTACTTGGGTTTGGTGGAACTGGGGCTTCAGGGGCAGTGCTGGTGCCTCAGCTTGAGAGATACTCAGTCGGGCTCTCCGGAATTGCTAGTGTTTGTGAGTAGTGTGTGTGTTTTGTGTTTGTAGAAGTGTCAGCAATCAGGATGTTGCTGATAGTGTTTGTGATGGTGTTTAAGTATGCAGTTGGGTTTGTAATTCTCGCATGCAAATGTGTGTTTCTGTTTAAATTGAAAATCGAAACTATCACTGAACACGTGGCTAATGGTGTGGTCACCTGTTTCTGTGAATGTGTACAAATTTGTGAGAGCACATATCAGCTTCTCTGTGAATCTGTTTTGGTTAAATGTGTGACTGCATTAATTGTGCCTATAGTTGTGTGTGAGATGTACTCGTGGGGAGCCACGTGTGTTAAGGCACAGCATGCGCTTGTATGTGACAGTACACAGTTGAGGCCGTGGAGGTAGTGGGGTGAGGTCAGGGAGACAGTCCGGTGGTACAGGTGGAGGATGTGAGTGCGATTGTGCGCTGAGCTTGTGTTTGAAGGTAGGAATCTGAGGTGGCAATGCAGGCAACTGGGGAACCGGCATCTGCTGATGCTCCCTGTGCTGTGGGGGGATTTCCCAGTTCACCCATCAGCCTGGCCTATGAGGAATCTGAAGAATTGAAGTCCCAGGACCCTCAGGGAGTCTCCAGACCACTCCCACCCACCGTACCCTGAACAGCAGCACACACACCCCTAATGTCCAGCTCCTGACCGATCCAACCAACTGCAGGCGGACAAACTTCTTTTCTGGAAGAGGCTGGGTGTGGGCCAATCTGGGGAACTCATAAGGACCAGTCGAGTTGGAGGACAGCAGCCTTTTCCTCCAGGATTAGAGAGTGAGCCAACTCTGCAGCTACAAGTAGAGGTCAGTGGGGAGCAGAGCACATGCAGGCCTGTGGAGTGCGTGCTGTGACTGATCAACCCCACCAGAGCCTGTCCTAGTCCTGCCCTGGCAGCCCGGGAAGGGAGGACAGCAAGCACAGCAGCCTCCCATCCAAGGAACCCAGGGAAAAGTCACTGTGTGGCACTAGGGTTCCCTCACCCACCTCGTCTGTGGGCCTCCTAGATCTCAGCAAAAGAGGGTTCTGGGTCTGAAGGACTTGGCGGTCTTCCCTGCCCTCCCTGACCAGTTCAGGACCTCTGGGAAGCCTGTGTATGAGACTGGGGAGTGGCTCTGGAGGTGGTGCCAAGTCTGGAGTGGGGCTTCAAGCTGAGAAAAATCTGGAAATGGCTTCTCAAACTGCAGAATTACTCTGTCTGGGCCACCTAGCTTTCCCTCAGGCCGATCCTGACAGGAATGGGGCCAACAAATCCTTGTTTCCTCCATTTGCATCTTTGAGACTCAGGATCAGTGTCAATCCCCCTTTACCAGACTCCAGGGAAGACTGAGCCTGATGCCCCTCCCAGGAGCCTGCTGTGTCCGAAGGATGGGGACAGCTTTTGGTCATAGACTGTCCAACTCAAGAGCTGGGGTAGGGCAGGGAGCTGCTGACAGCCCAACTCGACCTCTCCAAACCCATTCCAAAGGCCAGACTCCTCGCCCCATCCATCCTATCCAAACAGCAGCCACAACTGAGTATCTCCCACTTCAGAGCCTGGCATCAGCCAAGTCTTGAGCAGCTCAGCCCCGCGTCCAGCAGATAGTCCAGCAGATCAGGACTATCTATGGGGCTCAGCAGAAGCAGCCCCACTGGCCCGCCCACTTTTGTGCTCTCTGCCCAGGATCCTCACAGAGGCGCCAGACTCCCGGAGGTATTGGGATCCTTGGCGCCAGGGACTGTGCAGGACTTCTAGCATTCTGCCCCAAAATTCGTTGGGACCGAATCTCAGTGAATCCCATGTGGGCCGAGCAGCTGGAGCTGCATAGGCTGAGGGAGAAGGCCTGTGGGTGGAGGTCCCTGCTGAGCTGAGCTTGGAACCTGGGGCTATGAGGGTCCGAGGGTCGAGGGTCGAGGGTTGGAGTCAAGGCCACTGCTCCAAAATGGGAGGTCCAAACTCCTGGCTTTCCATGGTACCTGCTGCAAATGATCATTTTCTGATCAAAAGTAGAAAAGAAACAGATCATATGAATAGTTGTTCGAAAGGGTATGGAGGAAAAGAAGATGTAACAAACCTGTCTAGGCAGAAAGTCTGGCTTCCTTCCTCAGCCCAAGTGAGCCCACGGTGCTGACCAAATTCCCACCGCCTGCCTAGAGCCCTAACAGGGCAGAGACCCGGCCAGGGGGTGGGTGCCTGGTGCCCAGTGGATGGTGTCCTTGCCGGCAGGGCTGGGTGGTAGGTGGCACAGAGAATCTGACTCACCCTGTAAACTATAATAGAAGCTTTGTGTCGCAGATCCAGATCCATGCTTGGGGGTTGTGGAACCACTGCCTGAGAACCAGTGGCCCTGTGATGTGCCCCCCAGCAGAGGGGGTCTGGCCTGGCCCAGGACTCAGATGGGTGCCCTGTCTGTGATGTAAGTGACCTGCAGGTGGACAAGGGAGGTGGCAGGTTCCTGAGATGCCCATGTCTGCCTCCCTCTGGGCAGTACAGAGCTGGAGCCCTGGGTCCCCCACCTGGCTAACTAGGAGGCTGCGACCCCTCCCTCAGGATCTGCTCCTGCTGCTTCCCTGTACCCAGTTTCACATAGGATCTCAGTCCTGCTCCTCCCCAGGACTTCTGTGCAGCCCATGGGCCTCCCAGATCTATAGCCAGGCCATGGCCCAGGCCCTTGGCAGGAGCTGCTACAACTTTCCCAACTTGTCTCAAAATGGCCCATCCAAGGTCTCCTGGCCCCAATGCAGTCCCGGCCCAGCTGGCCAAGCGAGGCCCTTAGACACTTCTCACCCGTACCTTCCCCTGGATTTCTAGTCCTGGGGAACAAAGGTAAAGGTACAGACCGAGGGAGGGCTGGAGCCAGAGTGGGTTTTCCAATGAGCTGAGAGCAGATTTGGAAAAGTGGTTAGGAAGGTGGGCCAGGAGAGAGCAGGGGCAGGGCGTCCTTGTTGTGCCAAGGGCTGGGCAAACACATCCGCCCCACTCACCACCTCCACTGCCACGTAGAACCCCATAGGGCACCTCCAGCTACACAACCCCTACCCCAGGACGCTCAGGGAGCTACAGGCGTGTCATGCCGGCTCACAGCCACCCCCCACCCTGCGCCAGTGCTGCTACCGCCTCACAGGTCCCCAGCCACCAGCGGCCGGCTCCCTCCCTCTGCCTCCCAAATCCTAGCCTCTGTGGAAGGACGGTCCAAGTCGACTCCCAGGGTGCCTGGGCCTAGCTTCAGCCTCCGGCCTTGCCAGGGACCACAGTGCCCGTGACTGGGTTGGGGACGCCAGGTGGCCCGGTTCTGGCCGAGCCTCCCAGCAAGGCCCCCAGGCCCAGCCCGAGGAAATCCCCACCAGGGGCCCCAAGCCCACTTTCTTCCGAGGCTGGGCCCGAAGGACGGTCCAAGTCGACTCCCAGGGTGCCTGGGCCTAGCTTCAGCCTCCGGCCTTGCCAGGGACCACAGTGCCCGTGACTGGGTTGGGGACGCCAGGTGGCCCGGTTCTGGCCGAGCCTCCCAGCAAGGCCCCCAGGCCCAGCCCGAGGAAATCCCCACCAGGGGCCCCAAGCCCACTTTCTTCCGAGGCTGGGCCCGCGGAGGCCAGGCGCCGCACTCGCCTGTAAGATGCCGTCTTTCGTCAACGAGCCCCACCAGGCAGGTGGCACATTTACCCCTACTTCGCAGTCACGCAAAATGGAAACTCAGGTACCTGCAGCTCGGCGGACGGGCGCGCAGCCGCTAAGCGGCCAGGGCCTTCGGGAGGGAGGCCTCGGCAGGGACGCGCGGCTCGGACCGGT